GGTAGGGTTCCCAAGGCTGTAAATCTTTACAGAAATAGATTGCCTCATCTTCCTGCAGAGCAGATAGTGGGTTTGAACCTCTGACCCTCTGGTTAGCAGCCAAATGCCTTACCCACTGTGCCACCAGAGCTCCTTAGACAAGGTACTATAAAGTTTAAAATTACACGTATGGCCCGTATTATGTTTCTGGGAGCTCTGGTGGTGTAGTGCCTGAGGCATTTGACGGCTAACCAGCAGGCTGGTGGTTCAAACCCATCAGCCACTCCTCGGAAAGAAGACTGGGCAATCTATTTCCATACTGATATCACCTCGGAAACCCAAAGAGGAGTTGCTATGAATCGGATCCGACTCGATGGCAGCGAGTTTGGTTTGGTATTATGTTTCTAGGAGTCCCTCACATACTGCCATCAAGTTGGACCCGACTCATAGTGACCCCTCCTTGGGTTTCCAAGCTGTATCACTACAGAAGTAGATTGTCCAACCTTCCTTGTGGGGAGTGGCTAGTGGGTTTGAACCACCAGCCTTCTGGTTAGCAGTCAAATGCCTTAGACACTAAGCCACCAGGGACTCCAAGGACAAAATGGTCAAGCACTCACTTACTAGCCCAAAGCAACCAAAACCAAACCAAACTCACTGCCATCGAGTGGGATCCGACTCATAGCGAACCCCCCTTGGGTTTTCGAGGCAGTATTGCTATGGAAGTAGATCGCTCAACCTTCCTTCCAAAGGTTGGCAGTTCAATGCCCCCCAGAGACATCTTGGAAGACAGCCCTGGTGATCTACTTTTAAAAAGTCACCGCCTTGAAAACCCTCTGGAGCAGTTCTACTGTGCAAACATGGGGTGGCCATGAATCGACTCAATAGCCATTAACAACAATGATGTTTCTACCAGGCATCACTGCTATAGAGCAACCCCATCCTCAGCCCACAAATGGCTTCCTTCTCCAGACACATTTTGCAGAGTGTCCAGTCATGGTGGACAAGACAGGGCAGGTGCATGCTGGGACAATCTGCAGGAGTTGTTAGAGATTGGTTGTGTTTGCAGGGCTGCAGAGTGGTGGCACTTGCTCTAGTTTCTGCTGATGCTGTTACGGCTACCATAGCAATCACTTTCTGCTCAGGCTCTGAGAAGGCTGTGGGCAGGACAGGAGGGAGGCGTGGGGTCCACCATGGCAAGACAACTCGAACTTGGCATTGAAGGATCCGGGGTGTGGTGGGGAAGAAGCAGCCAGCTGGGCAGTTACTAGGACTTGACAGGATGCCGGGCACGCAGCAGGCTCTAACTTTCTGAAGAAGCTCTTTCCTTCAGAAGATGGTTAGATGTGAAGCTCAATTACAAGAGCTGGGAGACCAACCACCAGTAGACTGCAATGGTGGTGGTCACTAAACAAGACCTTGGGTGGTAAGTCAAACACCATCTTTTATCAGATGCCAACAGAGGCAAGCAGGGATATCAAGGACCAAGGACCCAAGAAAATGTTGTGGGAGGAATAATTTGCAATTGAGAAACCATCATTTGGCATTTTCCTTCTCTCTCTCTGTCTCTCCCTTTTTTGTTCATTCTCAACTGGCTGAGTGCCTGCCTACTGTATGATTATACTCTGGCAGATACCTGGTTTTGGAAGTACCCACGATGAAGCAAGTCAGGTGAGGGCAGAGCCTTCCTTTCCACTTGGAAGTACAGGTAGGTCTTATTCAGGTCAAGCCAGCTTTGAAATTGCAAGTAGAATTTGTGTGGATCTAACAGCATCATTGGCTTTCTGTGGGCAGAAGGGAGGAGCAAAAAACACAGATAGTGCTGTCAGGAACACACCACTCTGGACGCACATGGGGGTTGTGCCTGGGTCACCCATGAGGATCCTCCCTGCAGAATTTCCTGCTGCTTTTACAGGCAGGGGGACAGGGGAGAAAAGAAGAGAAAAGGGACATTGCCTGGGCAGCAGTGATGAGTGACCTCTCCCAACTTTGGCCCCAACTGGTCATTCTAATAGGGGCCCCCCACAACCTCCATCCAGTTTTACTGTCAACCCAAACCAGAACCCATTAGAAAAATAAAAAAGAGTATGAAAACGTCTCCATCCAAAAACAATGACCTTGAACATTTCAGATCAATTCTGTCCAGACTTCTCACCTACGTGTGTCTCTGCTTTAAATTTTTTTTTTTAAAGTCAGGTTTACATTCACATTCACAGGGCTCTGGAGGGCATAAACTATTCTTCTAAGTGCTTTATGTTTTAGTAAGGGTAAATACAATTCAAAAAAGAAGAAAAACGAAGTTGATTTTCTCTGGCGCAAAAGGGAAATAGACATGGAGAGATATCAAGATGGAAGTTTAATCAGACACACCATGTCATCTCTCTGCAGCAAAGACCTGAACAACCAAGGGAAACAGATGACAGACTATCTTGGAACTCCGAGCATCCAATGAGAAGGGAAAGAACAAGACCAAACACCAAGTGGAAAAAGAAAACTGATGGAAAACAGTGAACAGGTTGAGATACGGAGTAGAGGCATCTTGCAGGTCAGCCAGGCACACCGTGGCCATCTTGAGACAAAACCAGCAGTGATTCAAGTGAGGCATACAGAAAGGCAACATCACAGAATTCCCAACAGGGCACAGAGAAACTGTAGATTTACCCAGCGTGAAGGGGAGGAAGACATGAACCGGACCTAAGAAGAGAAAGTATGAGAGGGAAAGCAGGAGCTCCAGGGATCCTGACATCCACAGAGCAGAGAGGAAGCCAGGAGCCAGACAGGCTGGGTGGCAGCGTGGGGAACACGGAGTAATAGACCTAGACGTGCTGTCAGAACTTCCATATGGGGAGGAAGTAAAGGTCATTTCAAGACATAACAGACTTTTATTTTTGCCAGAAGGCTGGCGATTCAAACCCACCAGCCGCTTCTCGGAAGGAAGATGAGGCAATCTACTTTTGTAGTGATACTGCCTTGGAAACCCAAGGAGGGGTCACTATGAGTCGGGTCCTACTCAAGGGCAAACAACAATAACAACAACCCTCTAGTTAGTGGTTTACCCTCCCTTTCCCACCCACTGCTGGTAACCATCAAAGAATATTTCATTTTTTTGCGAAACTCTTTTCTTGACTTTTTACAATAGTGGTCTCAAA